TAGTTTGCTAGATAATAAATAATCATGGAGTAGGTAGTAGATCTAGGCCCCGGGTTGACAAATAGAGTTTGCCACTTACTGCATTTCCGGACTGCGATTACACTTTGTCACCGTTTGGTGTTGTGTTTTAGCGTGTCAACCACCTCCCACAACTCTTTTTCTAAATATAAATACCTCGAGAACACTAAATATGTCTCCTACTGTCGCATAAGCTGCATTTCCTGAAGAAGAAACCCCTTCTGCTCTTGATGTCATTACACAGGAGTTCAAAATCAACCAAGAATTTCTTCGCCGTGATTTCTATTCCCCACGAAATAGTTTTAAACGGGTGCAATTTTTTACTGATTACTCTAAGGAAGAACGTGTACTTATACAAAACTCTTTCTATGATTATCTCAATAATATACGAGAACACCTTTCTTTCTTTAATTGATTCGAACAAGTCTTTTCTCAATCTTCGATAGATGTTCAAACCAAGTCTATGACTTGGTTAACTGTTAATAACTCTAAGATCCAATCTATTCACCCCTCTAATGCTCCTGTTAATTTTTCTTATTGTGGAACAACTGTTCAAGCCTCTCCTTTTAAATTAAAACAAGAAAATAGTGACCATGTCAAAGGAGAAGATATTCGACGTTTGATTGAGCAAAAAAATTATACAAACCGATTTCTTCAGACCTTAGGAGATCAACTTACTAATGTTGAAATCATTTTACCTCTGTTTTTTTTGCGTCTACTTAAAATACTCCTATTCCTCTTCCAACAAACTTAATTCCCCCATTTTCAAACCTTTTGAAGTATCTAAAGAATCTAGTCTCGAGTTTAAGTTTGAAATAGAAAAACGTCTTAAACAACTTTCTACACAACTATCCATTTCTAAGACTCCTTTTATGTCTAACTCAAAATCCACGAACAACGAGTATCAAATCGTCAATGACTCAGCCGAAGCAATTCAAGACTTAGAAGGTCAGATTGAAACAGAAATCAATCATCTCCAATGGAACCAACCCTCTGCATCTAAGATGTATTACCCACTTCCCACTGCACCTGATTTAGTTCTCGAAGAGAACCCACCATTATCCAAAATAAATACAACTCCAATTCTATTTATGAATTGAATCTTGATGGATTTTCAGAATATCAAATTTTGAACATTTTTCAACAAATGACCATGGTAGCTAATGCTTACAAAACTCAAAATCAAACTTCTGATTACGCTATAGTTGAACTACTTATAGCCGACTTTGATGGTCAATTAAAGGGTTGGTGGGATAATATCTTAACCGCGGAAGACCAGAGAACTATTTTTACAGCTGTCAAATGTGATTCTTCTGGAACTCCTATTTTAGACTCCAATAATCAATCTTCTCAAGATGCAGTTGCATCTCTGATTTTTGCCATTTCAAAACATTTTATTGGAGATCCCTCACTTCTTAAAGATAAAAATGCTGAACTACTTCTAATCTTCGTTGTAAAAAGTTTCATGACTTCCGATGGTACAAAGATACATTTTTAACTAGGGTTATGCAAAGAGAATATGGAAATCAACCATTTTGGAAAGAGAAGTTTTTAGCCAGTTTACCCGTCTCTTAGGAGATAAATTCCGAAGCAAAATTCAAGACACTTGAATGATCTCCAACAAAATTCAAGACACTATAAATTGAGTGTTATCAGAAATATCCCACACTTAAACTTTACTTGTCCCTACGAAAAAATCCTCACAATCATACAACTCCTTGAAAACTAAAGATCATCACCCAAACACGATCTTAGGTAGTGAATCAAAAGTGAACTTACAAGGTTAATAATAGCATGAGAGAATCCTAACCACATAAATATGAAAGAACATCATTCAATCCAAATCAAACATAAACAACCAACCATGCATTTAGAGTCTAAAAAAACATAGGGTGAAGCTATTGATAAATGATTTTAAGCTTTAGAATGCTTCTACCATCATTTGACATACCCTTTTAGCACGTTTGCCTTATTAAAACAAACATTTTTAGAATTTTTTTAATTTTCTACAAAACATTACTTTTTTGTGTGTAAGGAGCTTTACTTAGAGCAGTAGACCTTTATTAGTTGAGCAAGAGCAAAAGCTCCTATACCTTAGTTCCTGTGGAGGGTCAATGAAACTGACGGGTTTTGAAAGCTCTATCTGTGCCCTTATCCCATAATGTATTTCTTAACTTAGTATGTAAATTTTCACAAGATACAACCATGTCTTGATTGGTTGTTTTTGCATTTTATAAAAGTTGCACTTCACCCTATGGAAAAACCTTTCAAAAAGTGAGACTCCTTCGCATTATCAGAAATCCACGAATGAATCAAACAACATAGCATTCCGACATATCAAATGGTCATTATATCTCATTGATCACATATTTAATAGCCATTACATTATCCTCCCTAAATCAAGTGACATTCTCCAGACTCATTGATTCAAAGTAAGATGAGCAGTGAAAATGCTTGTTGTGGTTGACTAACAAGTCAACTTATGGAAACCATCTTTAGTAATTTTTAAACTTTTTTGCAAAAATGACATAACTACTAGAATTGAATAAATTTCCAAAATTGAACAACTAAACATATAGTAATTGGAAACATAAGGAAGCAGCAAATAGCACACAATTCCAACACACACTTTAAATTGGACATTGACCTCAAAAGACTAAATAATTGTGAGCATTGAAAAAGATTGTAACTGGTTATCTCATTTGTCATACTATTTGAATTATTTATGTATAGTAGCTAGTGTTATCTCATCGATTTCTTTCAGTTATAGAATTGGGATTGGGTGGTTTCAGATTAGAAGTATGAGGCATCAAACCATCCTCCCTTTCATGTTTGGTCATCATAGCAAACACCCAATTCAGAAGGGGAAAGTGGATCTAACAACATGAGTGTGGGTGTAGGTCCACTAAAAACATAACATTATCATTCATGTGATTCTTTCTAAGTGGATCAAAGGGGGGAATTTGAAAATCAGAAGAGGGAGAAAAAACAAAGTTTAGATTTCTCAGATACCATATTAGAGTAGTGTAACTTATCATGTTATTGATTATTGAAGAAGGTGAAAAAGGTACATATGCATGTGTTGATGCTAGGTTTCATACAAAGTAACCAACAGAGAAAGTAGATAGAGGGCGGTAAAGACTAATAACTGGGAAGTAAAATTATAATACAGTACCTAAACTTATTACATTATAACTAACTATGCAATCTATCCTAACAAGCCATATACTATGAAAAGTCTTCATTCGGGTCCTCTAATGCTCTTATACTCTTCCTCATTGCTGCTTCCACATGGATGCATCTAGCTGAAACTTGCAAGACCACAAGTGTCACGCCTATTTGAAATTTAAGTCAAAATGTCCAATCTATTTTAGGGCACACTACGGGAAAATAGCCTAATGCAACACTCATCCTACAACACTTTTTAAAGGGTGACATAAAATAGACATAGACAAAACTATCATTATGTATCGTCTAATATATATCTTATACAACACAAATTAATAACATAAAATTTTTTGAATATATTTTATCAGAAATTCTTGCATATCGTTAACAAATTTTTCTACTGCTATTGTGACAAGACGTGTCTTTCACAACAAACTTCCTCCAGTAGGAATTTAATTTGACTTGGGCTATTGTACAAAACCTCATTGTTTTGTACTCCTACAAAACTCAATCCAATGGTCTTCATTTGGAAAGGGAATATCCAATGGTTGATATGATTCTGTACCCGCGGCCAGAAGTGCCTAATCGCCGGTCGGGGATTTAAAGAGGGTGACCGAGGAATGTGTCCAGTGGTTTTCCCCTGCATCCGATCGGGTATTTGGATCGGGTTTGTCCGAGTTTTGTTAACTTTTTCGTTTACAATTCTTTTTCTTTTTTGGTGTTTTCATTAGGTTTATTTTTCATACTTATTAAAAGGTTATAAGGCACGAATTTTAGTAGACTATTCAGATTATTCAGACTTTGATAATGGTAAAACCCTTTTTCGGTTCATTCAGTTTTTACTCGTGGATTTTGTCCTTGTTCGTTGGTGGATCTCCAACATTCGAGCGAGTTCTGTATCAATCAAGTATTCCCCTTGATTGTGGTCTAGTTGCTACCCCTTTATATTGTTCGAGCCTCTTCCTGATTTGTATTGAAGTTGCACAACAATTCAGCCATATCATTTACTTTTTGAGCGTTGAGAGAAAATTCAGAAAAAACACTAAAAATATCGAAGTTGCGCGACTTTGACAAAAGAACCTAAGCTTTCACGAGCTCGCGTTCTTATCACGTGGTATCAAAGCCCCATTCAAACTCAGCGGCAATTTGAGGTATTTTATTTCATTTTTACTGTTCACGTTATTGTTCACAAAAAAAAAAAGTTAAAAAAATGTTCATCAGCCACAAAGCTAACGTGGATTGCAAGGAAAAAAATAGATATCCTGGATTTTGGTTTGTGTATTTGTTATTCAAATCGGCGGAAAGAGAGTGGCGAGGAAGACAACAAAGATGCAAACCATGGATCCGAACATTGAAGATGCTTTGAGAGAGCTATTAGCAGAGATGGCTCAGGTGGGAGCTATTCTTCAAACCATGGTTGAACAGTGATCGAGTTACAATTCTCCGGTGCAATAGGGTTCAAGTTATGAGGAAGAGAAAGCGAATCTGGAAGCAGGAAAATTGTCGATCAACTGTCCAGAACTGAAAAAGGAAGATGGAGATTCATACGAGTAGGTCGTGGTGGAAAAGAAGCCGATGGCTTATCGTGGTCCTTTTTATGATGATCTTTGCAGAATTCCACAAGCTTTGTGGATTGTCGCTGCGAAACAAGGAACAACGACCGCCGGATTTGCAGAATGGGTACGAGATTTATATGGAGAGAAGCAGGGAGGTAACGTGCAATTTCCTGTGGATGATTGTCTTTTCTGTCAGTGGAAGTACAGAAAGAAGAGACAAGACGATGGTGAAGGAGCTAGGCGCCATTACATATTTCCTTGGCCTTGAAATTTTCATTCTTCTCATGGGATTCTCATGTGCCAACAGAAATATATTCATGAAATTCTTGAAGAACATCAATTTGGTGACTGTAAACCGGTGAAAATGCCTGCTGAACTCAATTTGAAGCTACACAGGGACTCAGGTGATTTGCTCGACGACGCTGCTTCTTACTGGAGAGTTGTTGGGAGTATAATTTATTTGGTGGCTACGCGTCATGATATTGCGTATGCGGTCCAAGTCGTTAGTCAATACATGTCGGCTCCCCGAGTGGATCATTTGGATGCAGTCCATAGCATTTTGCGATATCTATAGGGCACTCGAGACGTCGGGTTATTTCTTCCTTCCTCTAGTGATTTGCGTTTACGAGCTTATTCTGATTATGACAATGCAGGTTGTTCTGATACTCGACGCTCCATGACTAGATGATGTGTCCAGTTGGGTGATGCTTTCATATCATGGCGGTGTAAGAAGCAAGATAAGGTGTCCAAGTCCTCCACCGAGGCAGAATACCATGCTATGTCCTATGTTGGTTCTGAACTCGAGTGGCTCTAGCGCCTTCTCCTTGAGCATGGCGTCTCCTGTCCTTCTCCTATGGTGCTCCAGGTTAACAACACCAGTGCCATCCAGATCGCCACAATTCCTGTTCTCCATGACCGCACCAAACACATTGAAGTCCACATCCACTACATTCGTGAACTTGTTCATAATGGGGTGATTGGCTTGTAGTATCTTCCTTTTGAGGACTAGATTGCTGACATCTTAACCAAGTCTTTTACTACTAGTCGTCATTTGTACCTTTCTGGCAAATTGATGCTTCGTGACCGACATCAATTTGGGGGAGGCTGTTGAGCATACTGCTGCATGCATGCGTCACGTATGTGTATAGGGTGTTTATTGTGGTGATTATGTTCACTTAGCCTAATGGGTGTTAAGCCCATGTAGTTCGCCATGTGTGTTAGTCTTCCCTAGGGTTTGGCTGTGTGTCCTAGGTTGTATATAAAGGTCTGGATCTCGGTCATGTAACCTAAGCCGACATTGAAGGTTAATACGATTATCAGCTTGAAGAGCATCAAAACTTATCCATAAATTAGTCCTGAAATTATCAGCGATACTACGTAAATCCGTTGTATTCGTTATTTACAATTAATTTCATTATATCTAACAGAGGTGTGCATTTTGTAGAGTTTTATAGCTTTTGGTTTCTATGGTAACCCTTCCCATTTAATTTCTTCTAGATAACTTAAGTACCAGTTTTATAACGTCATTTAACTTATTAGCTTAAAAGGTAGTTTAAAACACCTATTCACATCATTTTCCTCCCATAATTTAAGCTGGCTGCATTTTGCTCTCATACTAACTCCAAGCAATGTCCTCAAGGATTTAAATCCTTAATTAAGTGCGCACCAAGCTCACGAGTCGTGTTCATCTTATCATCTATATACATAAGTTATTATATTTCAATTTGAATTAATGATCAGTTATTAATTATTTGAATGTTATAGATACAGGCAGCGTAGGGTACTTATATTAACCTTCGGAAGGTTGTCTAGGTGGTAACATAACAGAACTGAAATAGTATGCTTAAAAAAATGTACAATGACTAGTTATTAGCAAAATCTCTTTCAAGTGCTTTTTTATTAGTCAAACCAATTGAATTACTATTAATTAGTCTAATCTTTTGTTATACATCAAAATATTAGCCATTTTTCTTTTATCGTTAATAATTTTCCAACTCTTTTCTTAGTTAAAGTACTAAAGTTTTGGAATGTTGACCTCCAAGTGTTTCTTCCAAGTTAATATCTTGTTGCCAAATCAATGTTACCAACAAAATTGCTAATTGGAAGTTGATTTTTGCCTAATTATTAATAATTTTATAGGTTTGACTAATAAAAAAGTATGTGAGAAAGCTTTGGCTAATAATTTATCATTACTCCAAAAAAAACTTGTTTGCTACTATGAGTTGGTCTAATATGATGATGGATTATTATACAGAAAAGGGGTAAAATGCTAACTTGTTTTTTTTTTATCATGATGTTAACACCAGCTCCAGTCAATATTAACATTTTTTATGACTGTGTAATTTAAGTATGTTCACCACGATTAATGAGGGAGGCTTGAGGAGCACGCGGGTCATTAATGGGAATTTAAGGATGAAGGGCCGCATGTGTGTGCATTAAATGGGAAGATGTGCATTAATTGGCGGACCACCAAATACAAGTAACCACATCATAAAACCTTTTTCAAATTCTTTTGGGTATGTCTATGGTGACATGTAAGTCATCATAATTTGGAGAAAATGGTCGACCTCTTCCATCAAGTGGTCGACCACTTTTAAGAAAATGGTCGACCTCTTCCACTTAGTGGTCTACCACTTGAGTTATCAGGTCTACCACTTTCGAAAATGGGTCGACCTATAGAAGGAAACCTTATGGTTTATTCTTTGTAAATAGAGAGTTAGGCTTCAATTTTATTTACAATGCAAAAATTCACTATATTCTTCAGTAAACAATATGTTCAAGTGGAGAGTTTAGAATCCATAGGAGGGGGCACAATCAAAGAGATATCGTTATCATTGATGCTGGTATCCTCCTTCTCTTCTATGTATGTGATGCATTCGAGCTTGCTGGGCCACATTGGCTTTTTGTTACTTTTCATTATTATTATTATTATTGTTATTTATTTTTGCAAAAAGTTTAGTGAGCAACCGAGACAATCTGGTCCACCACTCCCTTAGCAATAGCAAAGCTAAGTTTAGTAAAAATGTATGTGGCCGCCCGAGCACCCACATACTGAAACACAGAGAATTTCTTGATCTGCCTAAGCAAAGCCATAGCGTCCGTATCCAACTCACTTAGCAAAGAAAAAGAAAATGACAGGAAACCATAACCAACTGTCATGCATAAGTCCCCATACTTGGCATGCTTTAGCTGAGAAGCATCAACAACAACTTGGCCTGGCACAAAACTAGTCATCCTAATCTAAGTCAAAGGTTAAGACCCAATCAGACCGATATACACATCTCACCAGCTGTCCCAGAAATACCGATTAGGAAGTAAAATTATAATACAATACCAAAACTTATTACAGTACTACTAACTAACTCTGCAATCTATCCTAAATTCTAACATGTCCTAAACTATGAATCTTCATTCTGGTCCTGCAACGCTCTTGTACTCTTCCTCATTGTCGCTTCCACGTGGATGGATCTAGCTGAAACTTTCAAGACCAATAGTGTCACACACCAATTTGAAATTTAAGTCAAAATGTATAATCTTTTTCACGGCGCACTATGAGGAAAATGGCTTGATGAAACACTCATCCTGTAACATTTTTTAAAAGTGTCACATAAAAAAGAAACAGGTAACACTTCTGATGTCAAATAAAATAGAACTAGGAAACACTTTCGTAGTTTTGTTATGTGTCGTGTAATATATATTTTTTGCAACAGAAATTAGTAACACCAAAATTTAGAATCTTAATCATCAGAAATTCTTGCATAATTCTTTACAAAATAAATTTACCGCTATTGTCAAAAAAAAAAAAAAAGTCTCTTTCACGAGATTTTTTCTCTAATAGGAATTTAATTTCTTCTAATTAATTTAACTTATTTACCAGCTCATTTCAAGAACAATTATGTAACTTTTTTTATAACGTCAATTAACTTATATTAGCTTAAAAGGTAGTTTAAAACTCCTATTCGCATCATTTTCCTCCGATAATTTAAGCTGGCCGCCTTATGCCCTCATACTAAATCCAAGAAATGCCCTCCAGGATTGAAACCCTTAATTAGGTGCGCACCAAGCTCACGAGTCGTGTTCATCTTATCATCTAGATAAATAAGTTATTATATTTCAATTTTCAATTAATAATAAGTTATTAATTATTTGGATGTCATCGATACAGGCAGTGTTAGGTACTCATAGTCATATAGTAAGATACAGAATTGAAATAGTATGCTTTAAAATATTGTCAGCTATATTATGAGTTCATCCAATGTGATGAATATTATCGAGGGAATAAGGGGGAACATTTTTTAAAATACACTATAAATTTCATAAAACATGTCAGAAATATAATAAAGTATATCATAAGTTTCTTAAACCATGTCAGAAATCTCATTGGACCTATTTGTAAATTTTAAAAATTTCAAGTACCAAAATGTAGAATAAAAATTTTAGGCACTGATATATAATTTTTAATCAATATTTTAGGACTTATACGTAAAAAATTTAAATTTAGACACTAAATATTAAGATTTATTAAGTTTATGAACAAAACTGTAATGTGTATATAAAACTCAATGAAAGTAGCATAGAGGAAGAAGAAATGGAGAATGATAGTTACTATAATACGCTTATTAAAAGTTTTTTTTTTTGAAGGAGCTTATTAAAAGTATTAGTATGGTGTTAACACTAAGGAGTGTTAGCACTCTATCTCCACCCGTATTGTTGGGGCTGGAAATTTGGTACCGGTATTTGGGATATACCGAATACCATACCAAATTTATCACTATTTGGTATTACTGAATATTGGCTTATTTTTTAGGAATTGAGATTCATTTTGGAGTGCTAGTCGGTATTCGGGATTACGGGATTGAGATCGAGATATACCGAAATACTGAGAAATACTAAAACTTAAAAATTAATGAAATATAGCACACAACATTTGGCCATCCCTCACTCTTTCAAAACTTAGAAGCCCTCATCCAACTCAATTTTGACTTTCTAGTTCAAGTCACTCTCATCTCTCACCTAATATTTTGTAATTTTCATAAAACCAAAACGCAAACACTAGTATTTGTCGTCTCTCAGCCTCCAATTCGTCAAATTAAAGATTACCAATGACAAGAATTTGAGATGTCACCTCTCCTCCCTTCTCCTTATCCATATCCTAGTTCTAGACAAACTCAAGACTCTTTGCTTAGTCTCTTCGCCCTAAATTAAACAATTAAATCTAATTTATATATTAAATTATTAATTACAAAGGTAATTAATTTCATTTTCGATAATAACGATCGGGATACCGAAATATTTAGGGATTGGGATTGGGATACCAAAATTATTAGTGATTGGGATTGAAATTGCTTTTAGAGTGTAATTCGGTATTCGGAATTTCGGTATTTGATATTGGGATACCGATACTGTAAATTATTTAATTGATATAGTGAAACATCTTTATTCTTTCTCGGTTAAGATATTGTTCGCTTTTGATCTTACTCCACGCGATTTTGTTTTTGTGTGATCATATGATAACTTTTTCAAAAGACATTTATCTTTGTAATGCTTTATCTTGAGGTCTGACGAATCGTAACTTTAGAGTTCCTACAAAAGTTCATCAATTTCATCTCAAAATGCATCTCCTCGGTTACAATTTAATTGTTTTTTATGAAACACTCATCTTTCTTGTACAATTGATTTGGGATATATGGTTAATTATGGTTAAATAAACCAGAAATTTCTAACACATATATAACCTATAAGAGCAAACAAGCTAGGGGGCACTGTAGCATTCACTATTGAGGAGAGAAATAACTTGTTACAGGGCAACATACATAGTTCTTTTTTTAAAATACATAATAATAATTCTATTTTGGCGGCATATGACTACCATTTTCCTGTGGGAAAGGAATTAATGGCACTGAATTATTACAGCCGTGCAGAGAAAAAAGAGGCCTATGTTCGTCAAGAGACATTATATTTATACATCTGGTTAACCGTTAACTAGTTTCCTTCTATATATTCATAATTCTAAGACAGGGTCATATATAATATATCATAGACATGCAGAAGGGAAAGCCGGTAGTTATGGAGTCATCACAAATAGTGGAAGATTGCGGTGGAGTTGTCCAGCTCTTTAGCGACGGCACCGTTTTCCGCCTCAAACACATCGACTTCCAGATGCCTGTCGTCGACGACCAATCCGTCATTCACAAGGATTGCCTCTTCGACGAAACCCACGACCTCCGCC